TTTCCGTTTTAAATATGAAGTAGATTTTTGACATATTTTGACTCCCGGGAGGCCACTGTCACTTTTTAATGTCTAAGTGCCTGCAGTGCCGTTCCTCCCAGTTTTAAAAAATGTTTTCTACGCCTTTTTTTGAGAAATTAAAACTGGCATCTAGCACAACATGCCAACAGACTCGCAGAGCAATCAGATTACCAAGTATATGAGATTTAATTAAAAACTGAAATAAAACCCTATAATTTCAATGTGACACCGGAAGCTTAGTGAAAGTAGCTATTTCTGTGTGTATAATAATAATAATATTAACAATATTAATAGCGGTACCTATGGAGCTGGGGGTTAAGGGCCCTGCTGAAGGGCCCACTGACATGGCTGTTCTGCCAAAGCCGGGACTCAAACCACCGACCTTCCGATCACAGGCACTGAGGCTTAGTTACCTTTGTGTGTCTGTCTGTCTGACCATCCTACCTGTATGTATATTTAGGTGTATCTTGGTGCTCCTTCCTGCTCTGCCTCCAAACCACCCCCCCCCCCACGCTCTTATGCAACCCCCACAGCCGGTCCTCCTCGTTGAAGCTGTCCCCTCCGTGTTGGTGACAGGCGGGGGACAGTGGGCCACCTGCAGTGGTGGGGTCCCCGTTATTCCTAAACGGGGGGCTGAGGTCACTCCCTCCCTTTGGGCGTCACCTTTGGATGGCTGTAGAAAATTCTGGAAATGGAGAAGTGACAGCTGCATGGTGACTGGCTCCCTGAAGCGGGAGATCTTCTTCATACCACTGAAATACCTCCAAAGGTGGCGATATCACCATTTTATTTCAAATAATACTTGTTTGAAGTGTTTAATTAAGATCATTGAGATTACGGAAATAAACGAAAATAAAGCCTCAATGCTGCTGGAAGAGCATGCATCACTGCGTTATGTTGGACGCATTTGGATTCATAACTGAAACGCTGCTTTGTTCCAACGGTTAATCCTCCTTCTCAAAGAACTCCGCAAGGTCACTAGAAGAACTGCCTTCCCCTAGAAATTTTGATTCTTGGTTTTGTTTTAGCTGATTAGTCAAAGACCCTGGTAGCTGAGGAAGTATGAGACTCTGCTGTTCAGACTCATGAATCCTGCGGCCAACAGTGTAGGAACATCTCCCAGTGTGGCTCAGGAGGTTAGGACTGTGTGCCTGTGATTGGATGGTTGCTAGTCCAAATCCTGGGGTTGGTCAAGTGTTGGGTCCTTGAGCAAGGCCCTTAGCTCTCAGTTACTCCAAGGCAGGGATGACCGATCTAGAACGGGCCATTGGGTTTTCATAAGTGATGGCTAAATGAAGCTTCATGAACCACTTGCTGTATTTTCTCACCCCACTAGGTGGCAGTCTTGGATCGCTTTCAGTCCATTTTTTTTAAGTGCGCCATCTAGTGGGGTCAAAAAATACAGCAAGTGGTTCATGAAGCTTCATTTGGCCATTACTAGTTTTCACTGCAACTAATTAGAGCACTGATTGGCTGAAGAGTCTTTACACATGGGTTTGAACAGCAGAGCTGAAGGTTATCCCAAAAGCCTGCATGCACACTGGCCCTTTGCCGATAAGATTGGTTACCCCTGCTCCAGGGACTACCTGACTCTACTCTCCGACCTTCATGTTGCTTCAGACTAAGTGTCCAAATAAATGTCAAATGTGCTTTAAGAATCATGTGACTATTCACAGGGCAAGTGTCCTTGTCATTGTGCACTTTAGATTGGTTTGTTTATGTCTAGAAAACCTTTTGTCTATAAAAAAAAAACTGACAATCCGAGTTCAGACCCGATTGTTGTTTACTGCTGGTTCCTTTGCTTTTCCGTAAATGCCGTGTGGTATGTTTGGCTGCCTCCTAGGCAGAGAGGACGTGTGCTTCATGTGATTCTGCGAAGCCGAGGGCTCTCGATGGGCGATGAATCAGCCTGTGACAGTTTTTCATGTTGAACAATGAGAAGAGGAAAAAATGGGAATCAGTGGATAAATGTGGCTTAAAATGTGACACGTTGTTGTGTGTGTGGGGGGGGGGGGGGAGGCTCCCTGCTGGATCAGAACCAACACGGGTTTAACGGCTTGGTACAGGGGATTTGCGCCTGTTTGATGCAGCTGTGGCCGACACTGTTGAGTGGAATGTTCTAGATGTTTCCATATTGTTTGCCGGAAGCTGTTGACTGTGACCTTTTTTGAGCTTTGTGCTGAGTCATTTTAAAGTTCTTTGGAAGAGGTCAGAAACGCTGGACCGTCATAAGTTCACCTACCTACTCCGCCCACGACATCACCCCTGACCACACACCCACCTAAATATCAGTCTATAGACGCCTGCCCCCCCTCCAGAGCGACACCCGCCATGACCCGGGTCCGACTTTATACAGGCATGCAACATTTATTACGCTGGTTATTAACCTCAGACTACACTTTCATAAAGGGTAATCGAAAGAGCCTGTCATTTCGTCCTTTTAATCTTTCGGATATTTACTATGGATGCAAGTTCTAACCTTAAGTACCGGTTCAAACGCCTGTGACGTGATGTGTCTCATTTCATAGGATCAGGTGATTGTTGTTATGAACTGGGGCATCGTGATTGAAAAGTAAGTGGAGAAAACCTGTTTTTAATATAAAATGACATCAGTGAAGAACTGGGTTGTTTTAAGAGAACCGTTACTGTCCTCTTTGTAAATCCTGCTGATCGACGTCGAAGTGAATCGGCATGCCGCTGTATTCTCACGCTAGACCCAGATTCTGTTTTGAGGACTTTAATATTTAGCCGAGTACCTTCGCACAAAGGAACAAGAGCACCACTCCTTCTGGGCCATAGGGGTGGGGCAATGTGGTCTAACAGCCCCCAGATGAAACCGACAAGCTGGAATTAATAGCCTTTTATTCCGAGAGATTTCGGGAGCTGGGCGTTTCATTGGCGTCAGTTGGATTATGTCTTGCTATACTGGGGTAGAGTTTCCATATCCTTTACTGTGACCCAGGCCCACGTGCTCCCGTTCATTCTGAGGAACACCCCCTGCAGGAACAGCACAAGGGAACCACTTAGACCATCATAATCGTGAAACGGGGATTTGCTTCCGCCAGCCGCAGTGACCTCCATTCCCCGCATACGCAGTCCAGCACGGCCCTGTCCTGCTGCAGCGTTCCACTCCCACAGCCCAGATGGCGTCGCAGTCGGTGCAGCTCGGCCCGCAGTCATTCTAGTCTTTCTCCAGGTGATCCGCGGTTTATGTAGATGCAGCATTTTTTAATGCAAAGTACAGCATTGGGAAAGAAGGAACATCACATGCTATTAAAAGCACAACAAGCCACTTGACCTAATAATATTAATATTCTCGTATATGTGACGGTGCTGCACAAACTATTTTTTCCCCCCAGATTCCCATAATGCTTTGCATCCTTCATTTCGAATACGGCCTCTTATAGTTGGGGTTTGTCGTTGTGACCCCTGCGTTGACCTTACCGGCAGCTCTTCGTATTGCCTTAACCCTTGGCCAGCAGGAACCCCATCAGAGGTTGTTCCCACTGCTCTGCGTTAAGTGTCTGGTGTTCAGGTGGCCGAGAGATGTTCCGGATGAGAAGCATCCTCCTAATGACGTTCTTTCACCCTGCCTGCCCTTTATTCTTTTGTTTTCATTAGCTCAGCAAATAAGCATGCCGGAAACACAGGGCACCCGGATAAACATGTTTACTCTTTACAGTGTAATTATCTTTAACCTCACAGCCCTCCACGGAGTCTCTCGATTTCATATTATTGCTGCCTGGCTGAAACACTTCCAAAGCTCTGACCGTTTACCCATAATGCCGTTCTGTCTCAATGTTTTCTTTTTTTTTTTTGTTATGAATTATTCTGTGAGTTAAGCACATCGGTGCAACACTGTTATGCATTGGATCTGTCACATGCAGGACCACGCGTGGGTGGCCGGGAGAGGTTTTCCGGAGACTTTTCTGTCATGTTCCTGCCGTACTGCCTATTGCAGAATGCTGCAGGGTGATGTCACAGAGTGCAGAGATCATGTGACTCGCCGATGAGGTCACCGCTTCAACTACAGTGCGGCCCACTTAATTAGGGACCTGTGTGGCCCGCTTCACTGTCGATTATAATTGTTTGCTGGGAACTTCTCGTAGCCTGTCTGTAATGTTGCAGAAACGTTGTCGCGATGTTACATGTATATGTTCTCAGAAATTGATAAGTGTTGCCTGGATTCTACTCCAGAGCGCTTACCGCTCGTAAGCCCAAGGCCGAATCCCTCCCTTTAGCCGTAAAGTCGACGGCTCCTGATGTGAGTGCCGAGTATTTTTACACTGTCGGCCATTTAAAGATGATTGGCCCCTCAGGGTCTCCCGGTATTTCTTGGTCTAGTAGTTTAGTGAGAGCTAAGAAGGTACGGGCTGCACTTGGGTCATTCTCGCAAACTTTTTGAGAATTAAAAAAAGAATTACAATGAGATGCATTGTTTTTTGTGTAGCGCAATTGGACACCACCTTAACTTTTATCTAGGCTATATTAAAACGAAGGCAATGACCTTGAATAGGATAAGCGATTGCAGAAAATGGATGGATGGATGGATGGATGGATATTAAAATGATGTCATTGTTCTGATTTAATGATTTTCATAACACAAAATTAGATAAAAAAATGTTTTTGTCTTTCAGGTTTATTGCATGTAATAAGCAATCAGTTTGTATAATAAGGTGTATGTTTTTGTTTTTTTTTGTCCAATTCTTTTGTCAGTGTTGTCATTTGTTCCCATCTCCCCTGGATTTGATGAAGTACTTTTATTTATTCCAGAAATAAATTGTAATAAAATCAAACTGATTAACTACCCCAGAGGCAAAATCGGCAGTTTAGACAATAAAGTTGTATAATTTGAGTCTGTCTTCAAGCTAATTTTAAACATTAGAGAAAATCAATATGTTACGACAATTAGATTATGAGGAAACTCTATTTCTCTACCTCTAACCCTCCCCCCCTTCCCCCCACCCCGGCTCTTCCAGATGAGCGTGAGGCCGTGCAGAAGAAGACTTTCACCAAATGGGTGAACTCGCACCTGGGTCGCGTCACCTGCCGCATCGGAGATCTGTACACGGACCTGCGTGACGGACGCATGCTGATCCGTCTGCTGGAGGTGCTGTCCAGCGAGCAGCTGGTGAGTGCTGCTTTGGCCACGCCCCCACTTCCTGTCTCTGCTGGGGGGGGCTTTGGGAACCGACGGCCAAGGAGGACACACAGGTGTCCAGAGGGCACAGCTGTTGGACTTTGAATATACGAAATCGTAACTAGAATGCTAATCTTCGTTTGAGTCTCCTACTAGTGCCTCTTCTTTGGCTTTTTGGGTGCTGCTTCATTAGTAGCTGTTTTGTTCTATGTGGGCTGTGTGTCCCTTATTCTCCCCCCCACCCCCCATAATTAGCTCTAACGATGCTGTCCATCACACAGCTCTACAAAACGGCACGCGTTCTCTGCTATTGTCTGTTCTCCTCCATCCTCTCTTTGAGTCATCCTCTTTTCTTCACCAGTTTTGTGCAATCGTTCGATGCCGGAAACGCTCTTTAGTGTCGTGACAGAAGTTGTCGACATAGAAGGATTAATTCGGGTTTAATAAAAGGAACGACGGCAAGATATAAAATAAATCCACCACCTGGCGGTCTGAGTCCTTTAGAAGTCTGAGTCCTTTAGAAGTCTGAGTCCTTTAGAAGTCTGAGTCCTGAAGTACCATTTTCTCACCCCTCCCCTCCCCCGCCACCCCCCTCAGCCCAAGCCCACCAAGGGCCGTATGCGGATCCACTGCCTGGAGAACGTCGACAAGGCCTTGCAGTTCCTCAAGGAGCAGAAGGTCCATCTAGAGAACATGGGCTCCCACGACATCGTCGACGGCAACCATCGCCTCACATTGGGCCTGATCTGGACCATCATCCTCCGCTTCCAGGTACCGAGATCACACCCGCAGATGGGCAGTGACGTCATGGGCGTCCGCATCACCTTCTCTTGACTCATCTTGTCTATATTGCTGAGTAATGGGTGAGGGGGGCTGTCCCTGCAGATCCAGGACATCAGCGTGGAGACTGAGGACAACAAGGAGAAGAAGTCAGCAAAGGACGCCTTGCTGCTTTGGTGCCAGATGAAGACTGCAGGGTAAGGGGGGGGGGGGAGAAGTAGGTGACATCATTAACGTTTCATTGGTCAGATAGTGTCTGGTTCCACCCTATTCTAGAGCAACGCTTCTCAACCCGGTCCTTGTGGATCCCTAGATAGTCCATGTTTCTGCTCCCTCCCATCTCCCAACACACCTGTACCAGGTATTCGGTGTTCCTGATTGGCTGGGAGTGGGGAGGGAGCAAAAAAGTGTATCGTCTGTGGGTCCCCGAGGACCGGGTGTGGAAGCACTGTTCTAGAGCGTCACTCTTAGCACGGGCCTCAATGGGACACAAGCATGGTTTTCCGGACGCTCACTTGCCCCTCTCCGCAAAGGTACCCCAATGTCAACGTCCACAACTTCACGACCAGCTGGCGGGACGGCCTGGCGTTCAACGCCATCGTACACAAGCACAGGTAACCACGCCTTTGCCGACAGATCGGCTCATCGCCGAAACGCGTTTTATTTTTCTGCATATAGTGAAGAGTTTCGTAACACTTAATAGGGGGGGTTTCCTCGATCACGCAATGGAGGAGCATCTGCAGCTGACCTCGCAGTCTGTTACGTCGTCTAGGAGAGATTCTCCGCTCCCCTGTTCCGTGTCAGCTCCTCCACGCATCCAAACCCCGCTGCTTTGCCGTAGCGAATGACGGCGACCAGGGAATTTACTGACCTAGAAAACGGAAGCCGTTCTTATGCGGCTCACGTAACGCTCGAAAGACTAAAGTTGGAGTTTGGCTCCATCTGCTGGGCTAAATGCTGACCCAGAGCGATGCAGTTTATAGAGAGATTATTCCGGCTGACTTACCTGAAAAGGACTTGAACAGCGATGCTGCCTCATTTCCGCGTAACCTCAATACTTCAGTTGAATGCACCTCTCAGTATCTGCAGCTGGAGGGCAAAGGATTCTGTTACAGGTTAAAAGGAGAGTGAAATTGACTGTTATTAAGTAAATGTATTGCTGGCGAGCTTCCAAGGGCGACATGTCCGGTATTTACAATGGAGACGGATGGAGATGAACTTCCCAGGTGAATCGGACTTTATTAACTGCTCAATAACGTAAAAAAAGAGCAGATTAATTGAGTCATTGACTGACTGATTGGTAGACTGATAGTAGCAACGACACAGTAAAAAATAATAAATACCACTTCAACTACTAAAAATTAATAGTAAGCAGTCCCAGAGTTAAGAAAGACCTACTTATGGACAGCTCTTGCTTTCGAATGGATTGCCATAAAGCCCATTATATAAACTTAAAGACAGACATAAGGAACACATCATGTTTCTATAACACGCTTAACTTAATCTATTACCATAAGTATGTAATATATTAATACTTAATATCTTAATATCAATTTAATATTTGCTGAAGCAGTTCAGGTTAACCATGTTGTTTAATTGCTTAACACAAGGGTCTCCAACTCCGGTCCTGGAGAGCTACTATCCAGTTGGTTTTCTATCCTACCTGGCTTCTGATGAACCACACCAGTTCTCAGGTAAATACCAGGAGCAGGTGTGGCTCATCAGTAGTCAGGTAGGATAGAAAACTCACTGGATAGTAGCTCTCTAGGACCAGAGTTGGAGACCCCTGGCTTAACACCTGCTTTGATTTCTGGTTGCACACATCATTAACCACTACGCCCCCAAGGCGTCCAAAGTGACTGACATATTGACTTATGGCGTCGCTGCCGTCACGCAGGCCGGACCTGATCGAGTTCGACACTCTGAAGAGGTCCAACGCCCACTACAACCTGCAGAACGCCTTCAACGTGGCTGAGAAGGAGCTGGGCCTCACCAAGCTGCTCGACCCCGAGGGTGAGTCTGCTTCCAACCCGGTGCGATGGTGCGGCTCTGGGGTTCTTCAGGGGCCATGACCCGGGTCTCGAGCCGGTGGGCCTGAACGATCCCCGTAATCCCACTCTGTCTGTGTCTCCGACTCACCAGCTTATTAACTGGCATTAAAATGAAAAATACGCTTTAATCATGGCGTGCCTGTCAAAGACGCAGCAGTAACTATCCAACTAACAGGTTAACATTCCCAGAACTTCAGCTATCACTATTTAAAGGTCCTCTCAAAACTCAGAACTTTCTCGCTGAGACATTTTAACAAAGGTTCCGTTCATATTGCCATGGTAACATTATTACTTGAACATCTTTTTTAACATAATTAACGTTGAAAAATATTGGTTTATAATAAAATGTTATTTTTTGAAAGTACTATATGCATATATATATATTCACACATATGTGTAGCTTTGAACCCATGACCTTAAGGTGTAAAGTGATAGTGTTTCCCGCTGCCCTTCATGTATTTTTATATCATTAGTCTTCATTGCAGTGGTACTTGAAGTACTGGGTACTCATTCCTGGAACACTGTACAATTTGGACGTTTCCATGCCTTAAAACTAACGTTTGGTAAATGGTCCTAGAAATAATGATTTTTTTGCTGGGTACACAAGAAAAAAACGACCCGACAGTCGGTTGAAACCATGGGAATAACTGGATGACAAAGCAATCGATGTTCCACCAGTGCGACACATTCACGCATCACTGATGATTAGGTATCGCTGATTGGCTGATCACTATCGCTTATGGTTAATTTAAACTTTCACTGTAAGTAGAGATGGTTCATCTGTACAGAAGATGGATGATGTTGTTCGAGCCTCCAGACTTTTCCCATGTCTGAGGGAATCTTTGAAAATGTGCCACCCTGACTGTAAAAGGGAGGCAGTAACTTTTGTTAGGCAAAATAATTTCTAGAACCTTCTAGTCAAAGCATGAATGCTGCCTCAAGCACAGGGGGATCTTGGGAAGGATTATAGCAACTAGGACATGGCTGGAGAGGAGATGTGGGCCAAGCTGGCACAGTGAAGCCTGGTGCATTATGACTGTAAACCATGGAAACTCAGGCTTGGCTCAATGGATGGCATTATGGAGTTTAATGGAGCGCTAAGAATGTATGGGGTGGACGAGTAAATAAAGTCACCATTAGCCAATGATATGTTTTGAATCCTTGAGTGACAGGGCCAATCAGCTATCAGCTGGTGATAGTGGCCCCGCCCCCATGTATACGCCCCTGCCAGGTAGAACTTTAATCCCCTCTTGTAATTGGGCAGATGTCAACGTGGATCAGCCGGACGAGAAGTCCATCATCACCTATGTGGCCACCTACTACCACTACTTCTCCAAGATGAAGGCCCTGGCTGTGGAGGGCAAAAGGATTGGCAAGGTGAGGTGCACTGTGGGAAAAAGAACACGGGGGCGGGGCATCCGAGACATACCGGCCTGGTGTCACCTCCCGCCTTGCCGGCAGGTGCTGGACTACGCCATCGAGGCTGACCAGCTGATCGAGAAGTACGAGACGCTGGCGTCGGAACTGCTGCAGTGGATCGAGCAGACCATCATCACGCTGAACGACCGGCAGCTCGCCAACTCCCTGGGCGGAGTCCAGAACCAGCTGCAGGCCTTTAACACATACCGGACCGTGGAGAAGCCCCCCAAGTGAGCGCCAACCCAAGGGGGGGGTGAAATGGTGTCATCCCAGTTAACAATGAACCACAGAAATTTACTGCCCAGTCCTGCACATCTTTATGTCCCATTCTCTAGCACTGGGACTTACATAATCCTTTTGGCTATATGCTAATCCAAATCCAGTTCCGCAATGGTGAATTTTAAAATAATAAATAAATAGTAAAGGACTGGAGCAAGCCAAGCAGAGATCTTAATTGGGATCCGTCCGTAATGTGCTTTGCCCCTTTGGGTCGAAATATGCAACGTTATGTCCTGTCAGTCCCAACTGGCAAAATCCAGCCATGGGGATTTTATTAAAGTTGTTTAGCGCCATTTATAGTGTAAGTGAAGTCTACTCTTACCCAATAGCCATTCGCCCATAAACAGTTTCTAAATAATTTAGTGATTAATTTAACATCATATGGCCAAAGTGTTGCTTATTAGCAGGTGTGTGTGTGTGTGTGTGTCATCCAATGTGCCCACAATGTGATAAAAACCTGTTCTTTTGATGTTGTGGGGACTATTTTTTCAGTCCCCGCAAGGGGGAAATTCAGTATTCTGTGGCTGTAGTCAAAAGACCCGTGTCTGTGTTTGCTTGTGCACAGGTTTACGGAGAAGGGGAACCTGGAGGTCCTGCTGTTCACCATCCAGAGCAAAATGAGAGCCAACAACCAGAAGGTCTACATGCCCAGGGAGGGCAAGCTCATCTCGGACATCAACAAGGTGCTGCGGCGCGCGCACACACGCACACACACACGCACACACACACACACACGCACACACACAGACCCTGAACAGGCCCACTCTTAGAACATCATTCCTGAGCATGGCAGTGAAAGAAGGTTTGATACTGGCAGTCGATGCAGCCAATGGCTGAGAAAGAGGGAGGCGGTCCCTTAAAATTCTAGCTTTGCTATTGGCCGACAGGCGTGGGAGCGGCTGGAGAAGGCGGAGCACGAGCGTGAGCTGGCGCTGCGCAACGAGCTGATTCGCCAGGAGAAGCTGGAGATGCTGGCGGCGCGCTTCGACCGCAAGGCGGCCATGAGGGAGACCTGGCTGAGCGAGAACCAGCGGCTCGTCTCGCAGGTGCGGCGCCATGTTGCCACCATGCGGACCATAGCATGTTAGCATAGCATGTTAGCGCCCTGCATGACCAGAGGTAGCGGTCACCAAATGTGACAGAGAGGAGCCCGTGACCACATTTTTGAAATAAACAACAAGACCACAGAACAACGTGTGCAAATGGGAAGCAAAAATTCAGCCCATCTAGGTTCTTTTGAATAAACATATCTACGCGTTGGTTAAACAATCTAGATCTAGACGAAAATCTAGAGCAGGCCTGCACCTCTGCGTCATCACATGAAGGTATTCAAATGAGAAGCAGAAATTCAGCTATTTTATTTGGATAAAAAAATATCTACACTTTGGTAAAACTAAAGACTATGTCTGGAAGAATATCTTCAGCTGGTCTGTACCTCATCAGAATGACATGTATAAATGCTGTATAAAATATGTATAAAAAGTTAATTTGGGTGAAAAATACCTAGCTTTGGTAAAATTTCTGACAATATCTAGAAAAAAACTAGAGATGCCTGTGTTTCTGCATCATCACATATATATTTAAGCTGGTCCTTAACTAGTTTCCATTTGTGGCATGAAATTGGGAGGTTCACTGTCTTTCTGGCTGTCCCTGACCTGCCAGGACAACTTTGGCATGGAGCTGGGTGCCGTGGAAGCGGCCACGCGGAAACACGAGGCCATCGAGACGGACATCGGGGCGTACGGGGAGCGCGTGGCCGCCGTGGAGGCGGTGGCGCGCGAGCTGGAGGTGGAGGGATACCACGAGGTGCGGCGCGTGCTGGCGCGGCGCGACAACGTGCTGCGGCTGTGGGAGTACCTGCGTGAGCTGCTGGCGGCGAGGCGCGAGAGGCTGCAGGCCCACCGCGACCTGCAGAGGCTGCTGCAGGAGATGAGCTACATCATGGACTGGATGGCGGACATGAAGGTACGGCCCATGCTGCATCCAATGGAAACCGCCATTTAGGGACACGCCCACTGACAGGAAGTGCCTGTGATTGGGTCAAAGGTAGGAGGAGGCTGGACCATCTTAGTGTCCTAACACTGCTACTGGCCGCCTAGCAAGAGCTCATTTACATAAAATATAGTGACATGTTGAATTCTTTATATGAATTTGAGTTGCAATATTCCGCAACCCTGTTCAGCCAGAGCAGCTGGAATATGGCTGGATGGCAAACGTGATTCAGGTCCATTCTTTCTTCCATCTTCTAGTAAGCTATTCCCGTCCTGCAGTCCATAGTCCCAGGACATATGGCCAGGCTAACTGGTGTCTCGAAATTGCCTGCAGTACATGAATATGGGGTGAGAGTGATTCTGTGTGTGTGTGCCTGTGTTTTTTAATAACTACATTGCGGGGACCGGATTTCCAGATTTTATTAGAAACCTGTTATGGTGACGTTGTGGGGACAATTTTTTTCGGTCCCCACAAGGATAACCTTGGTGTTACAAAAATCTGTGTCTGCACTCAAGATATTAAAAATGGCAAAAGGCTTGAGTTTTGTTCGGTTACTGATGGTTTAGGTTAGGGCTGGGTAGAGGTTAAGGTTGTTATAGTTAGGACTGGGCTTATGCCCATAGAAATGAATGGTCAGTCCCCATAAAGATATGAATACTTGGACTGTGTGTGTGTGTGTGAGTGGGCATATGTTCCCTGCAAAGGGCTGGCATCCTGTCCAGGGTGTCCCCCAACTCGGTGTCCTGTGCTTCTAGGAATGGCTCCAGGCCACCCCCCCCCCCCCCCCGACACAAGCCAGATGGCATTTAAAATTTAACTTAACAAACCATCACTGCCTCGTGCTTCATTCGGAAATATCCTTCACGTTCTTCTCCCCCCTCGCTCACATGATTATCGGAATACACGCTAACGCGCTAACTCTCACGCGCTGGCCTGATACCCCCCACCCCCCACCCCCTAGGGGCGTCTGCAGTCCCAGGACAGCGGGAAGCACCTGCACGACGTGGAGGACCGGCTGCAGACGCACACGCTGGTGGAGGCGGACATCTCGGCGCAGGCGGAGAGGGTGCGGGCTGTGCAGGCGGCTGCCCTGCGCTTCACCAGCATCCATCAGAGTGAGTGTGGGGGGGGGGGCTTCGGGAGGTGACGTCCTGCCGGTAGTAATCTGACAAGTACAATGTTCGCACTGTATATATGGTTATATAGGTTAGCCTGGGTTAGTAACGGCCAAATGAAGCTTCATGGACGATTTGCTTTATTTTTTCACCCCCGTTAGATGGTACTCTTGGTTTGCTTTGGGGCAGGGGTCACCAACTGTATCATACCCGGCTTCGGATGAGCCATACCTGTTCTCAGGTAAATTCCAGGAGCAGGTGTGGCTCATCAGAAGCCAGGTAGGATAGAAAACCTACTGGATAGTAGCTCTCCAGGACCGGAGTTGGAGACCCCTGCTTTGGGCATACTTTGAGTGCTTTTTTTGAACAGAGAGCACCATCTAGTGGTCTCACAAAATACAGCAAGTGGTTCATGAGCTTCATTTGGCCATCATTACTCTGGGTGATGTTTTTAAGCATAAAACTCTTACAGATGAGTCAGAAAAATTACAGTTTTATCTAATTCCTGTCACCACAACCTTGTACTGAATAAGTGTGTATGAAAGATGGATAGATGGATAAATCGGTGGATGGATGGATAGATTGATGCGTCGATAGATGGGTCTGCTATAACACTTATAAAGATAAATTAGATCAGACTTACTAGGGGCAGTCGCAGGCTTTACCTAAAGTGAGGGGCGTATACAGGGGCGGAGCTATGCGGCATAGGCCTCAGCTAAAAGCTGATTGGTCCTCAGAGTGCCCCTCCCATGTCACTCACTGATTCAAAAAATATTATTGGCCAGTTATAAGGCTGGCCTTCTGTATGAATTATGCCTCTAAAAAATCCTAGAATGGCCACTACCTAAGGTGATCCCACTCATTCGCCTCCCCCCCCCTCGCTCACGCAGCCTACAAGCCATGTGACCCCGCCCTGGTCAGTGAGAAGGTGTTGCGGCTGGGCCGTGCCTACGACGAGCTGGGCCAGCTGGCGGGCCAGAGGCGTGTCCGTCTGGAGGACTCGCGTCGCCTCTGGCAGTTCCTGTGGGAGGTGGGCGAGGAGGCGGCCTGGGTCCGCGAACAGGAGCAGATCCTGGCGGCGGGCGAATCGGGCCGCGACCTCAGCTCGGCGCTGCACCTGCTCAGCAAGCACGAGGCCTTCCGGGACGAGATGGCTGCCCGCTACGGGCCCCTGGGTCACAGCATCGCTGCCGGCGAGGCCCTCGTGCATGAGGGCCACTTTGGGGCCCCCGAGGTTTTGGAGCGGATCCACGATGTCCGGGCGCAGTGGACGCACCTAGAGGAGGTGAGGGCCTGGGGCCCCGGGAATGATGTGTAAGGCTACAGATTGCTCCACCTTTATTATGAATGGGGGTGGAGTCACACACATTTCGTATTGTGATTGGACGACGGCTTTGGCCTGGGCTTTATTCAGGGCCAGCCCAACCCTTTTTGGGTGCCCTAAGCAAAATTTGATTAACCTAGTTTCCTATTCTGAGAGGCTGATCAGATGGATGGGGGCCCCCTGGTGTCGACTGGGCACTTAGCAGTTCTTTATTTCTCGTTTGACTTGGGCCGGTCCCATCTGGTTCTCCACTTTGATAGCATGCAGTGTTTATGAGGTGTGTCATTGTTGTCTGAATAATGGAGTTATTTTCTGAATGGTTTCGCTGTGCGATTCAGCCCGCAGAACTGGTATGAGTTTTTTTTTTTCTGTGGTTCATTGTTAACTTTTTATGAGAAGCTTTCTGTCAGCACTGGCTGAGTCACACAGGGCCACAGAGTGGGTGGAGCAGAATCCCTGCTCAATTGCGATGGACGCGTTTGACGGGAATGACATCCAGCTCGCACATCTGGCCTTAATCCCTCCGCCTCCCCACCAGGCCTCCCGAGAGAGGGAACAGCACCTCCGTGAGGCTGTGGCGCTGCACCAGTTCCAGACGGACGCCAACGACATGGAGGCGTGGATCCTGGAGACGCTTCGGCGGGTGTCCAGCCCAGATCTGGGCCACGACGAGTTCTCCACGCAGACGCTGGCGCGCAAGCAGAGGGAGGTGGAGGAGGAGATCCAGAGCCACCGCATTCTCATCGACTCGCTGCACGAGCAGGCGCTGGGCTTGCCCCCCGCCTACGCCCGCTCCCCCCAGGTCAGCACCCACGCCCTCCCTGCTGTCCCTAACTCCGACATGTATAGCCAGCATCGCGGCACCTAGACCAGAGGTGGGGGTCCCTCACCCATCAGTATGAAAGTCCATCATTTGTGCAACAGTGCCAGTCAAGTCATTAATCCTGAACTTCCCATTCCCCGGGTCCGTAAACCAGTCTACGTCAAAAGTTGGGGAACCCCTACATTAAGATGACATAAGCAAGCAGCGGGGGCGCCATCTTCTGGGGGGGACAGCGACTTAGCAAGCCAATTTCACTTGGTCTCAGGCAGGGTTGAGCGGCTGAAGCTTACCTAGGGTTCCACAAGGGCTTGACCGGCACCGTGTCCATGCCTCCAGGGCCGCTGTAATGCACAGGCTTACCCAGGCTGCAGTCCAGGGGCCTCTGCTAAAAGGGGCTCAAAAAGTCCCCCCCCTCTCTGGTTGGTGTGGGGGGGGGGGGTAAGCATGTTAATATGTTCCTGCATGCATGATTTCACTTTTAAGATGAAGTAAGGAGCATGCGATGATTACAGCGCATTGCCGCACCACACGACAAACCACCTCAGGGATGAGAACCTGAGTGCAACCATGCGGCGGGTGATTCCTCAGCACCACACTAGTCCGAATGGACCAGCGTGAGACTTTTCTGGTGGCTAGAAATCCAATCCTGCTACCAACACCCAAGTTATTCCCCTGTAAGTTGGAGAACCTCCTCATAGGACTGGAGGTAGATTAACGTCACACCCAGGATGAAACGATTGCAGGTTAAGGGCCTTTGCTCAAGGGCCCAATATAGTAGAATCACTCTGGGCCGGGTTTGCTGATTCTGCAACCCCAATCAAAAGGTCACCCTCCCAGTGCAGTAACTGCTGTGGCCAGCAGGGGGCTGCAAACGCGTGATTGGAGTGGCGGTAAACACCGCTTTTGCTGTCGCCCCTCCCAACCAGGTCGAAGGTCGACTTCCCGCCATCGAGCAGCGCTACGAGGAGCTGGAGGCGCTGTCGGTGGCGCGGAGGCAGGCCCTGGAGGGGGCGCTAGCCCTGTACCGCATGTTCAGCGAGGCGGGCGCCTGTCAGCTGTGGGTCGGCGAGAAGGAGCAGTGGCTGCACAACATGGAGATCCCCACCAAGCTGGAGGACCTGGAGGTGGTGCAGCAGAGGTGAGATGGAGCAGGAAGGTCAGGGGAAGCTGGTCAGGAAGGGGAGGGAAGCATGGAGATGATTCCGGAATATCGAGCTGGGCCACAGTGTCGCCTTCTGAGCAGCTTAACGTGGAGCGATTTATTGGCGATCGTCATTCGCCTTTAACATTAATTCCTCTTCTGTTCTTTTTAATTCTTCTTATTGATAGTTATTTTTGTGACAGATTACCGAAATTAACGGGTACTTCATTCTGCAGGATGTCAAAAATCAACAAACAACAAATCAGAATCACAATCACGAAGATCTTTTTTGGCTAAGTAGATGAAACATACAAGGAATGTGTCTCGGTATAAAATGCAACATGCAAGACAATTTAAAGATGATTTACAAATATGTATATGTGAAATTTTAACACTGGGCTGTACCTACAGTCAGAAGCAGTATGGGATGGAATAAAGTTTGAGGTTAATAATTATTGAATTTTAGTTAACGGGGTTGATGGTTAGGAAGAGTTATAGGGACGCAGCTGACAATGT